AAAGATTATTAAGGAGAAGGTGAAGGCTAAGAAAAAAACCGATGTTTCTAATGTAACAACTGATGATAATGTCACAAGAAAATGCGATATTGATTCGGAGAAAGAAATCACGAGACAATTACAGGAATTTCCTGTTACTATAGAGTCAATACCATAAGATATTGAATTAGCACCGACAATAATCTCATAAGAAAAAATAACAGTAGTAAGCTTAGCCAACGTAGGTATTACGTTTGTGAGAAGAAAACAAATATATTTTACTGTATGATACCTTAAAAACTCATCATAAAAATATTTTAAAATTTAGTCGGTAATATGATTCGATGTTTAATAAATACTATGTAATTATTTTATATACTTTTATTTCCAAAACCAACATTTACTAATAGTCATTGGTAAAACCTAGCATGTACTAAACTCTAACGGTAACAGCCCGCAAAATAGTCACATTTTATACCAAACCTTGCATTTACCAGCTGATGTTGGTAAATCCTAAGATTCAAAAGAAAATCCCAAGATTTACCCAAATACGGGCTTTTATTTATATATTGAGGCAAATAATATATATAATAATAATATATATATATATATATATATATATATATATATATATATATATATATATATATATATATATATATATATATATATGTAGGAAGTATAATGGGTATAGTACAGAGACTGATTTTGTAGTTAGGAATAATAATTAATTCGTTTACACGAATTAATTATCCAACGAGTCGAGGATAAACTAGTAACGGAATACGACAAGCGCACCGTTCCACGTCAGAGCCAAGACTGTCTTAACGGCGGCCGCTCCGTCCGTTTTATACAAGCAGGACGGGTGGCAACGCAGGTGCACTGCCGCAGGTGTGCGGTACACGTGTCGTTTACAAGAATTCTGTCTAGCTAGACCGACGCCACCGCATCTACAACGGTGCAGGTGCCGTCATATATATATACCTAGTCAGGTCATAAGTATTGTCACACAGTAAAACCTTTTCTTTTAGAATGCTGGCCACAAAATAGTTTATTGAATTCGAATTTCGAATTGTTCATAAAATTAAAACTGTATACTTTTTAGAATTTTACTCATTTTTAAATATGGAGTGAACGCTTAAAGAAGACCGTGTTGCAGTTATTGCGTTGCATCGTTGCGGTTACTCGCCAATTCAAATTTTTGACATACTGAAAAATTTGAATATAACCAAAAGATTCGTTTATCGTACCATCAAACGATACAATGAAGACTCTAGTGTAGATGACAGGTCAAGAAGTAGTCGCCCTCGGTCTGTTAGGACTCCAGCAGTGATAAAAGCTGTGAAGGCGCGAATTCAAAGAAATCCCAAACGTAAGCAGAAACTGTTCGCCCTTCAGATGGGGTTAAGCAGAACCACGGTGAAAAGGGTGTTAAATGAAGAATTAGGGCTTCGGGCATATCGAAGAAAAACAGGACATCGTTTGAATGCTCGTCTAATGGACCTGAGACTGAAGAGATGCCGCGCTTTGTTGAAGCGGTACGCGGGAAAAAAATATCGGGAAATTCTTTTTTCGGATGAAAAAATTTTTACCGTAGAAGAGAGCTACAACAAACAAAATGATAAGGTGTACGCACACAGTAGTGAAGAAGCGAGCAACCGTATTCCGCGTGTCCAACGAGGTCATTTTCCATCCTCGCTCATGGTATGGTTGGGAGTTTCTTATTGGGGCTTAACAGAGGTACATTTTTGTGAGAAAGGTGTAAAAACGAATGCAGTTGTGTATCAAAATACAGTCCTGACGAACCTTGTGGAACCTGTTTCTCATACCATGTTTAATAACAGGCACTGAGTATTCCAACAAGATTCGGCGCCAGCTCATAGAGCGAAGAGCACACAAGACTGGCTGGCGGCGCGTGAAATCGACTTCATCCGGCACGAAGACTGGCCCTCCTCCAGTCCAGATTTGAATCCGTTAGATTACAAGATATGGCAACACTTGGAGGAAAAGGCGTGCTCAAAGCCTCATCCCAATTTGGAGTCACTCAAGACATCCTTGATTAAGGCAGCCGCCAATATTGAAATGGACCTCGTTCCTGCTGCGATAGACGACTGGCCGCGCAGATTGAAGGCCTGTATTCAAAATCACGGAGGTCATTTTGAATAAACTTTAGTGTGTGTCATAAGAATCTATGTTTTGTTAAGTTCATTTTGGTATATAAATGGTTACATAATGAACAAACTTGTTTCAATTATTTTATATTAAACATGTGACAGAATTTATGACTTGACTAGGTATACTATAAGTGTACGTGCCGTTGCTGGAGACAGGGAATATTCCATTTAATTTCGCTTCCTCTCATTCTCAATTCTGGATTTCTGGATCAGGTATTGAAAATCTTCTAAACGACCATTTCCAAAAACAGGTATCGAAGTTGAGCTACTTCAATGGCCTTACATGTTATACGTTTAAATAATCAAAATATCGCTGTTCTAATACATATTTCTCTTGTCCTCAACATATTTTTAATTTCTCAGACATAAAAGATTGCTCCAGATATTTCTTTCACCATCGAGTAAATGATAAGTCAGTATATATATATATATATATATATATATATATATATATATATATATATATATATATATATATATATATATATATATTGTTACGGACGGCGAAGGAGGCCGCCGCCCCGTCGCCCCTTCATACCCCGTTGCGCCCCGCGCACCCCGCACACCGGCAGCAGATCACGCGATGTCGCCGACCAATCAGCGCGCGGCATCGCCTTACGACGCTACTCACAAACCGAGACGCTCTCTTGCGGGATATAAGAAGGGCGTTTTGGTCTGTGAGTCGTTCATTCATTCGGAAGCGGCACTAGAAGAAACCTCAAGAGAAGAATCAAGACTCCATAGAAATTAAGAAGACTCCCCTCTGTATATAGTGTATAGTTAATAGAGCCGCAATGTAAATAGTTTGAATACAGTATAGTTCTACAGTACCATCTTTTCTTTGAGCAGTCTCCTAGCGTAGTCAGTCATACAGTCCATTTGCAATAGTAAATTCATAAAGAAGCATTCAATCCCTTATATTCTTGGCCCTTCACCGCCGGATAAGAAGCAAGAAGCATACAGTCCATTATATATATATTGCTTTAATTTCGGAACTGTGTTAGCGCGATTTAGGCTTCGATGTATTTCGCTTGTGGCGCGACGACAGCGCCGCTACATCACCCCCCTGCTCAGACCGGAGGTCAATAGTGCAGTCCGATTGCCGGTGCGTCCTTAATGCCGGTGGGGAATGCATGCAGTGTGCATAAGGGCAAGTGACGCCAGTACGAACGATATGCCGGTGTGTAAAGTAATCTGCGAGAGTGCCGTGAAGCAGAGGCGAGCAGTAAGTCTCAGAGTCGTGCCGAACACTTTAGCGCAGAGAGTAGCTTGAAGGAACAGGAACCATTATTATTCCAGTGATGCGATGAACCTTTGTAAAGCTAGATGGCTTGCAGAATGTGAAGACTGCAGACAATATTAGCTCGGGAGCGAATGAATGGGGATACTTGAGGATGATGAAGGTTTGTAGTTTCCGAAGCTTTGTTGGTTGCGTGTTAATATCACGTCGGGTGGTCACCAATGTAGCCGGTGGAAGGAAAAGGGGACATCTCCCGCCGGGCAAGGTGTTCTGTCCGGGGAGCGGCCAACGCTCCGAGTGATAGTTCGGAGCTATTCTATATATATTGTTTTAATTTCTGAACTATGTTAGTGCGATTTAGGTTTCGATGTGTATCGCTTGTGGCGCGACGATAGCGCCGCCACAACTTAATTGGTAAGCGGATGCTGTGGCCTATAGACAGACACAGATTGAGAATCAAATATCCTAGATTAAGATTCAAAATGTAGATGCGTTGCGTGAAAACTAAAATATAATCCCTCGATACCATTAATAAAAAGCCGGCCATGTGCGACTCGGACTCGCGGATGAAGAGTTCCGTACCTTCGTAATACACGTTTCTAGTACATGTTTCTAGTAAATAAATTAAAGGACAAATAATAAAAGGACAGCGGAGGCTTAGTAATAGGTACCCGCCCGTTGGTTACCCTTTAAACGGCGGGACGGTACGGAGCCCTAAAAAGGGTCTTCGGTTCTCTACACTTACCATACAAAACACACATTACGCTGCATTAAGCTGCTATTTTCGCTGGTATTCTGTAAAAGCGTGGTGCTTCCCTGGTCGAGCCGACACATTCGCGCTGGAACCATATAAATATATCTGCAGTATTACTATACCACGCTATCCATATCTGTTACTGTGATCACCACTATTACGGCTAATACTCCTAAAATGGGAAAGGCTCAGCGTGAATTGACGAGGAAAGGAGGAGGGAAACGTGTTTTATTTTTATTTTACGTATTCATTTTGACACCTCTCTTAATGGATCAGATATGGTGTGCATATTTATTAGACTGAAGGTAATGTTTACATATTATGTTTGTTATTGCGTATGTGAAGAGTATATAATAAGTATACAAAGGAATGCGCATGTGCACTTAATTTAAAGATAAATCAGTTAAATGGTTTCCTAAAGTGTCTTTTTTTCTCGACTTATGTAACTGTTGCGTGTTTAATAAAATAATGAATTGAGTTAATACCAGTATTCTAAAATAAATTTACTTTTGTAATAATTACTTAAATAATTGACATTTCTTATCACTTTTTTAATTATATCTGAACGCAATTATTGTATCCATAGACTTTTCTAAGTTTATGATTGTCTCTGCGGATATTACACTACCATAGACAATATTCTTTCTATCAATTCAATCAATGTCACTTTCGTAAGTAAACGTCAGCCTAAGTTTATAGAAATTGTGAGAAAACATTTCTATTGTGCGTATTTTAAGTGATTTCTCCAACTTTTTATTAAGCACTTTATATGACGAAACATTCATAATAAGCTGGACAGGTTATAATTTTTCATTGACAATAAATGTTTTCTGGTTTGTGAAATAATTTGACAATGGCGAATAACAGAATTCCATCGGGTCCGAACACGCCTGGTAGCCAGCAAACTCCTACACAGCAGGGCATTAAAATTTTCATTCAAAGAGATTACTCTGAAGGCACTGCAGTTAAATTTCAAACAAGATTCCCACCTGAACTTGAAGACAGAGTAAGTGAAACTGAATACAGTTATGTTTATTGTCTTTACAGACCCTAATTCTTGTGATGTGAGATTATATATTTTGCCTGTGCCAGATCTTTTTTAATCTTAATATACTGAATATATCTAGTTTTATTTTTACCATTTCAAAAACTATCAATAACAGAAGAGAAGTGAAGCCTTTTCAAATCTCTGAAAGGAGGGAAGGTTCTCAATTCTAGTGTATTTTAGTTTTTATATATGTTATGCTCTTCACCAATCATAATCCAATTTTAATTAATCTTTTCTAAATAGGCTTTATACTATGTAACTATTTAAATGACATTGTTGTTGTTTACCTTGAGGTTGGCGATATTGCTTAGTCCACAGAGAAGGGTCACAAATTAAACTTAACAAAAGTAAAAATCAACTTCTAAGAATAAATAATTATAATCCAAATGGAGGCTTCAATTTTTTTAATATGCTATGTCTTGGAATTAGCCCAAATTTATAAGCTATGAAGTTCCATTATCCATTACAGCCTATATAAGTCTACTGCTGAACATAGGCCTCAACCATTGATTACTTTGTATTGAGGATTTTATCATAGCTGACACTCTTGGCGAGCAGGTAGTCAACCGCAGATTTTTTGGTTATTTTGAGTTATCAAGAAAATGCTGCTGCCTATCTCTGTTTCAATTTCCCTCTGTCACCTCTTATAACACCAACAATAGGACAATATGGGGTAGTGGGTATTCTGACACCACCACTACATAGCTATGAAATTATGTGGAATTATTTTATTCTTTTTTTTTATAGGATAGGGTGACAAACTAGCACACAGTCCAACTGATGGTAAGTGGTTGCTGGGGTCCATATACATCTACATCTATCCTCGTTTGCGAATCAAATTGCAGACGCAATGTCAGCTTTAAGGACTAAGATGGAATGCCTCTTTACCAGTAAAAAGGCTCTCCGGTTCTTTACACTCACCATACGAAACACAGCAGCGCTAAGCTGCTATTTTACACTGGAATTCCTTGAGAGTGTGGTCCTTCCCCGGTCGAGCTGACCAATTTGTGCTACAACTATACTATAAATATAGCTGCAGCATGGTTCTACCACGTATAGACATTTCCCTCTGTCACTTCATAACACCCATGGGATGATATGTGGTAGTGGATATTCTTACGTCACCACAACATAGCTATGAAATTATGTGGAAATTATTTTATTCTTTTTAAGTAGTTGGTATTTTTGTTAAAAGTTAAATTTTCTGTTAATCTTGTTATTCCAACGATTAGAAAAATTAATAATGCTTCTGATGAAAATTATTTGATATAGAAAATCCAAATTATATGATTAGTTTTTTTTTGAAATCTTTATTTTCAAAAAAGGGGTTTTGTCACATCGTAACTTTGCTTAGTTTTATTTTCTACCAACTGCAAACAGGAGGAGGTACTCGATATGACTGTATTTTATTATTTATTTATTTATTATTTTTTACATCTACCTTATAATAAGGGATGTAAAGGGCGGACTTAATACCTTGTGGCATTCTCTAGCAGTCAACCCTGGATTATATTATGTGTGTTACATCATAACTTTTTTCTGTGTGAACCAATTTTGATGACTTTTTTTATTTGAACGCTGGTGCTTTACATGTGGTCCCATATAAATTTGACCAAGGTCTGACCTTGAGTTTTTGAATTATTCTTAATAATTTATATTGAAGTCAATTGTACAAAATTTTTTATTTTAAATTATTAATATAACACATTTTCAGAGAGTAATACTTGAATCTACTGACAGTTTCAATTAAACTTATAAAATTAGAATTTTTATTATGTCTATTCAGTAACATGAAATGGCTTCAATTTTACTATGTAAACAATTAATAATTAGGTTTACTACTATAACAGCTGATTGTATTAGAAAATCAATTTTTAAGCGACTAATAATAAATTATTGTAACAATGTTACAGATAGACAGACAAACATTTGAATACACTATGGAGAGACTTAATGAGCATTTTGAGATGGCTGAAACTGCAGACTGCAGCACATACTGTGAGGGCTGCCTTGCTTGTCTCACTGCTTATTTCATCTATATTTGTACAGAGACACATTATGAAAAGGTGAGGTTAATAATGCATGTTATATTAAACCATATATCAGCTTATATCAAGCAAATTCTCTTTAATTTTTTTATTGGATCAACATTTAATTTTTACTTACAGGGTTATTTTTCAAAGAGTAGCCAAACTTTAAACTTAAGTGAAATATATAAATAATGAAATTATCCCAAATTGAATGTGATTTATGGGCAACAACATTTTTGCCTACTGATCGAACCCATAAGAATGTGTGTGCATGTACAGTATAATCAGTTGAAATAATGCATTACCATGCATTTTGAATTTTTTTTTAATTCATATATAAAGGGCTTTGTCGCTGATGCGATTATGCCGCCCTGGTAGTTACATAAAAATCTTAAATATAATTACTAACAAATAAACTTATTATGTTTACTAGTTACTTAATCTCTTATTAACTAACAAATACAGTTTTTTGGCATCATCTGATAACGGGTCGGATAAAATACTGTTACTACTACCAATTAAGGACAAATGTAAATTACAATTTGCTCTTTCTATTGAGTTCTGGGCACATTCTATCAAAATGTGATAAACATCATCGATAATATTACAAATTGAACAATTTGGTGAGGTCATTTTTCGCATCAAGTATAAAAATTTATTGCATGGAATGTGTCCAGATCTGAGTCTTAATGTTGTTACAGTGTCGCGTCTACACAATACTCTGTTATCTATCCAGGTATTTTGAATTTAAAAGATAAAAAGGACAGTTGAAGTTTTTTTTAATTAACCTTTCTTCACCATTTGCCTATATAATTTATTCTGAACCTTCTCTGCAAATTTGGTAGGTTATTGCAAAATAACCCTGTATATTATAAAACGTGGGATGTGGGAAGTAAAGACTGTGTAAGAACCTCTGAAGGAGGTGGAATTATAGTCGAAATAAGGATTATTGAATTTTTTGGTTTTTAGCCATTTTGACCCCCTAGGAGCTTAATGAGAACTTTTTGCCCCTATTCAACCATGACATCCTCTACATGATAGGCTATTCAAAATGACTATTCCTAAAGTTCCCTCAACTCATTTTGTGTCACTCTGTCCAATTCTTCTATAAGTGAATAGTATTTATTGTTACTGCATTAAGCCATTGTTAAAATAAAGCCATCTTTAAAATAAACCCATAAAATCAATTCAATTGTTGAGGAAAATCTGACAGATTCTTATTGTGGATTAAATATTCTAAGTTGTCTTAAGAAATATTTATCTGTGAAAAATTGATTCAGTTTGGAGTATTATTAAGTTTTTTCCTCTTTTTTTCAGCATCTTCGAAAGATATCGAAATTCATTGCTACACAGAACGAAAGAGTGTACAACCCGCGTGGTATCCACATAACAGATCCGATACTTAGAGGGCTCAGAGTGATTGAAATAACAATAATAGACCTACCAAATTGCCAGAGCCCAACCGGTAATTCAACGAGCACACAAATGCGGCACACTTGACCACCACATGAAAACAGGGAGTTCTTCATGTAACAATCACGGTACTGGTTTTAAACCATTTACTTGACTAAACTTTATCAAGGGTGTGAATTCCTGAATATGTCGATGGGCACAATAGCAGTAATACAATTATACTCCAATATGTTTACCAAAGTGCAATCATTCAAAGTTTTGTATGAAATAATTGTATATTTTTAAGTCTTCTTCTATATGACATGCTAGTGGATAGTTTGCATTTAAATCAGACAGGAAAAGTTTTTCCCCTACAGTCCACTATACATAAGTTTACGGTGATTGTATAATGTGGTGTAACTCTAGGACGGTCTCTTACATGCACTCCAAAAGTGTTCATTAGACTTTTTAGCAAGTTTATCTTTAACAGAAACTAAACTAATATTACTCATTGTGTCAAGTTTTATATTTCTTTCTATTGGTTGTAGCTTCCAATAGTCTCACGACGCAAAGTATTTTGAAAGAGAAATAAGTGACATGAATGTACGGAGAAATATGGTTTAAAACTCGTTTTAAATTTCAAGGATAAGGGATGCTGTGTAGTACGTGTTTAATGAATTTAAATAAATTTATCTTTTGAAATTTGTATAAAACTTGTATTATATTATGTATATTATATTACTTTAGAATGTACCTCCTCGTTGGTAACTGTTCGCGTATAGAAGTCGGAACAAATATGAATAAATGTTTAATATATTATTGTTCCTATAATTGCAATCTTTTCAGTTCATGTTAAAAATTTACTTAAAAATGTTTTGTACCAATTTATAAAAAAAATATTTCGACTTTTTCTTTGTAATTCTTTCAGTACACATTCATCATCATTATTATTACAGCCCATCACAAGTCCTCTGCAGAACATAGGCCTCACCCAAGGAACGCCACAAAGCAAGGTCCCATCTACTTCCTGCATCTAAAAGTTGTTACTTCACTTACCTCTACAATGCTACCACTCAAGGACCTTAACTGAATTATTTCATATAATATTTTGATGTTATATTCTAACTGAATATGACAAATACTTCATAGTATTCAATTGATTGCAAAACTGTTATTACAAAAGTAAACCCTTATGAAACGTGAAAGAGAACTCCCTTTGCCAAAGTGTTCTTCCTCACAATGAAAGGATATTTCATTATTTAAATATTGTGATATGTTAAATTATATGTTGTATTATTTTATATTGAAATATTTTAGACTAAGTCCAATCTCCATTGGTAATTGGTGGGTAGATCGTTAGACATTTAATAAAATATTTATTATCTGTTTTTTTTTTTAATTGGTTTCACATCCCTGCCAATATTTGTAGTCTTAAAGAAATAACTCGGCTTTTGTAGAAATTTTGCAATAATATTGGCTGGTAACAAAATAAAAAGTTCCAGAAGTGATTGTAATAATTATCAGAAATAAACGTCTATAGTGTATGTCATCACTTGAGTGTTTATTCTGATATACTCTTAATAAGGGCAACACATTATTCTTTATGGCAACATTTATTATTTTTTAACATGCATTACAGTGATATATTTTATGTATTCTTTGGTATAATATATCATATTATTATATTATTTTTAAATTTAAACTCAAGTTATGTGCTTTTTGATGACAAATTGTATTAATTACTTAATATCCTGCTTCAATTATTTTTGACTTTGGTAAAAATATTTAGCTTTTATTTACTATCGGATGTTTGAGCTCTATTGCAAGGAATATGCAAACGAGCTGTGTTCATCAAGAACACAATAAAATGCTAGTGGATAGTTTGCATTTAATTTATTTTATTAAGTCGTTGATATCACATTCATTGCCTTTTAAGGAAATTAATAGAATAAGACATTATTTTGCGTAAATTATCATATAAATAATTAAGAAATGAGAACATTAACTTGGTAAGATTATTGTGCAAAAATTGTGTGTATTATGGTAGTTTTAAAAGCATTTCTCTCTTTCCCACAATACACTATCTGTCATTGCTTAATCTAAAAACTTTGATCCTAACACCACTCTAAGCTCTATATTAGAAAATGCACACCACTGTCGTCTAATACGGCACCTAACGACATTTGCCTCTAAACGAGCCATTACCTGGAGATTTCTGGTAGTGCCACAGTATATGGTACCTCTCACTTCCATAAATGGAGCCATATATGATAGAAGCACGCTGCAGCTATATCATAGTTGCAGCACAACCCTGGCTCAACCCAGGGAACAACCTTATACATAACAACCTGCCACAGAATACCAGCATAAAATAGCAGTTTAATGCTGCTGTATATTCTGTGCGAGCGTTGTCCTTCCCGGTCGAGACAACCCATTCGTGATAAAGCCATAACACAACTGCAGTACAGTACAGAGTAGTTTCTCATAAAAAAAAAAACAGGCAGCCCTCCAGCTCATGAGGCCTGCCGACAGAAGTGAAAACTCAATGTTATAAGCGTATATATGTACTACACGTCGCTAGTCTGACGCAAACCAGAACTGACGCATACTAGCGACGCGTAGTAGACGTGGTCGTGACGTATTGCGCGCAAGCGCGATGTTGAGGTCATCGGTGAAGCGAACCCATAAGTTTTTCCCCTACCGAAAAATTGCTCAACGCGGCTAAAGAAGTTTTCACATTAAAAATATTGTACCTTTTGTAAGCTATTTGATATTCAATTATAAATGAAGTGCTCGATTGACTACCCTCAAAGCGATTGGCCTAAAATATTGAATAACACATACAACATTCCAAGACCCTCATTTTGTATTTGCTCATAGGTGCAGTGTTGCTATATATATTATAAATTTTAATTGTGTAAACTTATAGGTAAATGTACCTATGAGGTGGCAAGCTATTTGAAAAATATATATTATCGACGATGCTAAAATTATGAGAGTGTACACCGACCTTAGACACAGCTTTAATTAATATTTTACGACCATATCATTGTTTTATGCCTTATTAACCAATAGGCTTATGTCGCTTAATATTAAATTGACAATCCAACCTTATGGAAATTCATTTTAATTTATTATTTCGTTCATTATATCGTGTTCATTAAGATTCACATTGTAAAAACAAATAGCTTCAATCATTCTTCCACGATGTGTGTTTACATTGGAAATCGGTTTTATATTATAATTAATTTAATTATATATTGTTTGTATGTACTAGGAACAGTTTTCTTATGTATAGCGTAACGGTTGTAATCATAAAAGTTATAGAGAAATTTATCTAATAGCGCTTAAACGTAAGGCATCCAACGGACCCAGATTCTGTGGAATAGTCCTGGAATAGGAACTAAACCCGCGTTATAAAAATAAACAATTAATATTTAACAAATAAGCTATGTAACTATCCTTTTTAGTTTCGTTAATGAATATTGAATATCATATTATAAACATCGGTGATGACTATATTGACTTGTATGACATTCGAAATTAAAACCTAGAATTAAATGAGGATTTAAAAGTTGGCCGCCTTACTAATTACCGTTTTTGTTATTAAACGTTATACGCCTCTTTTAAAGTTTTTTTTTTTAATGAATAATTACCGCTAATGTACAGATGTTATAAAATTGTCACCTTTGTAACTTCTGTAATGTCGCATAAAGCGGGCAGACTACATTTGATTTAAGACAATTGATATTAGATTTATTAAAAATCATTCACTTATTTGTAGAGTTTAAGTCCAGAAGAGTATATTATAAATTTTATTACGAATAATATTATTAATAAACAATTGAAAATATTTTTTATTTATTTATTGTCACCTCTACTTTCAGTCAGGGGTAAAGATAAGAACACGAGTTGATATATAAATATCAATATGGCCCTTAGTGCATCAATACTTTTGATTTAGAGCTTGTAAGCCAGTTAACAACTAAGTAATAAAAATGTTGGCCATCACGGAACTCCGGCAGACTTGAAACATAACATACGTGGTAGAGTCAAGCTGCAGCTATATTATGGTTGTAGCATGAATAATAATAATAATAATAATGTTTATTTAATCTTACAAGTTTACATTGCCTTTGAATAATATTGGAGGTATAAGCATTTTAATTTGTGAGCGCCTGGTGTTAGTACTAGGAAAGACCTGTATGACTAATCACCAGACTCTCGTCCCTTAATGTTAACTTTAGTACACTTCGTGCGACAGAATACCTGAGTGGAATAGCAGCTTCACGCTGCTGTGTTTCGTATGGTGAGTGTAGGAACCGGAGACCATTTCTTCTGGAAACGAGACATCCCATCTTAGTCCTCACGGGTGACAACGCATTTGAATTTGATCCTTAATCGACGATAAATGTGTCTATGGGCCACAGCATCCACTTACCATCAGGTGGACTGTGTGCTCGTTTGTTATCCTTATTCTATAAAAGAAAAAGTTGATGGTATAATTTATATTAAAGAAAACCAATAAGGAAATATGGACTAAAAAAACAAAAATAGTTTGGAAAATCCAAAAGTGCACGCTTCATGAGTGTTTTATTTAATTACGATGAAAAAAATACTTTGTGTTCTGCCTTTTAAAATTCACTATGTAAAGCACTACCTAATAACGCTTCGCGTTATGATGCGTGCAATAAAAACGCTGATATTCTGTGAGATCGTGCCCATAGACATTTACATCTATCCTCTATTACAAATCAAAATGCAGATGCGTTGTCACCCGTGAGGACTAAGATGGAATGGCTCATTTCCAGTAAAAAGGGTCTCCGGTTCTCTACACTCACCATACGAAACACAGCACTATCAAGCTGCCATTTTACGTTGGTATTCTGTGAGAGCGTGGTCCTACCCCAGTGGAACTGACCCATTCATGCCACAACCAAAAAAATAATATAGCTGCAGCATGGCTCTACCACGTACTTATGCCACTGAATAAAACATAAAACTGAAATGATAAATTAACTTACAGACCATTTAATTGAAAGTAGCCACTGCAGTCCATGGACAAGTCTAGAAGTCTTGGAGTCAACTTCGAACAAAAAAGGCAACAT